ACCTACCCTCGACATTCTTTTTCAACACAAATTTCGGTATCTCTTCCATATTAGAAATTCAATATGGCTCTTTCCAGGTGGGCGCGACACCTTTTGAGCATGAATCGCTCGTGTTCAATAGCCGTTTAGCGAAACTTAACAGACTGGATGAAGCTCATGCGAAATCTGCCGCACTCCTAAATCTGGTATGTTCTTAATCTAAACTATGCCATTGTCTTTCGCAAAATGTAGCTTAATCGTCAAAACTTAGAACCTCTCCCAAACTGAATGGTGTTGACCACTTCTTTTTCTTCCTTTTTCAACCATTTAATCCTTGGAATGCTTAAGCAGACTGAATGTGGCTTGAAATGTTACATTTGATAGAAGAAACTAATTTCATTTGCCATGAGGCATAGTTGTTGCGATTTCTTAGAATTCTTCAAGGGGAATGAGATAACTTATCAAACAAAGCAATGAAAATTGCTTACTTACCTTCCCATATCTTAAAAACTACCAAAAGTCAGCTACCGCTACAACCGCGCACAGCAAAAGCAGTTTTGTGAGAGGAGACAGGAGACTTATCTTGCTCACAGCAGCTCCATTTCTTCAAAGTTCACTTAACTTCTTGGGCACATCTTAGTTGAAAGCATATGCAAATCAACTGTTGTTGCAAAGGGCCAATTCTGGAGTAGTTGCATCTTTGGCTATTCTTTGAATTTGTAGCATCAGAAGTTGCCATTTGTATGACTTTGTAAGCAAGCCATGTATTATATCCTTTATAACCTTTTTAAGCTAATTTGCTCTATAATCATGATGTGAGCTGATGCTACTGTTCCAGGTCCTTCATCGCAGAGGTGAGATCAGTGCCATAGATAAGGAAAGGAGAAAGAACAGAGAAAGTGCAGGACAGTTTGTGGGTTTTGTTTCTGCTAGACTTTTTTGAAAAAGTTATCTCTTTGATGTCGGAGGACTTTTTATTCACATATCTAATGGCAGGTTTTTTACAATGTGTCTCTGGCTTTGTTCACTCTCAATATTTTAAAATTCTTAGAATAAGCGCATATAGGCAACTGCGAATGCGAAGGAGCGTGCTGCATGGTTTACGGGCCTCGCCCGAGGTAAAGCTCTCTCCCAGCTTGTGAGGAAAGTTCCTACCATCAAGCGACGGGAGGAAGGACTGGAATATCTTTGCGACTACAGGTACATATAGTCTTTTTACTAGAGTTAAAGGAATCTCGATTTTACATTTTTCAGGATACCCTCCTTTCGGGCGTTATGGTATCTCAAAATTACTGCTGCTCTCACTAGAAGCCCTAGTACTGCCAAGCATAAGAAGTTCAGTGATCTGTGTTCTGCCGGTATGGTTCCGAATTAATTCACCTGCGAAGGCTTATCGTATGATTCTGTTTTGTTTGCAGAGTACAAAGACATTTTTCTTAAAGCAATCAGAGAGCTGATCAATCGAATGTGGGACGTGAATGATCTTTCAACTTGTCCTATTTATAAAGAACGCTGGCTTTACATATCGAACTTGTGCAAATGTGCATACGAGGTCAGTTGTTTAAGTATTATCTTCACTATTTACTACCCTTTGAAAGCAAATTTTTCCTTCCACCAGCTGTATTTTAGGACGGTTTGATTGAACGGCAAGATTTCCTCAATGAATTATGCAATATGTTCTCCGATTACTTCGTGAGAAGGATAAAAGGTGGAGAAAAGTTACCGCAGCTGAGGTATCCTTAGGATTCTTCATTGCG